AGTATGTACCGGTTGAGGTCTCTTAAGTCCATGATGGACCTTATGCCCCTATCGTTCTTGGGGACTGCAAAGTAGTGTGAGAAAATCCATTGGTACTGTCAGATGGAATTTGGATTATGGCCTCTTTAGATAACAGGGATGAGATTTCCAAATGCAGTGGCTTGGAAAAAAGGGTAGGCCTGACAGAATTTGGTGGAGGGATGCAGAAAAATTCTATCCTATACCCGTGTTGAATGATACTAAGGACCCACTTATGAATAGTGATTTTTTGGGGGGGGGGAATGGAAATAATCTTGTATAGGAGGGAGATTCATGAGAATAGTTTACCCCTATGGCGCTGAACTTGGTAAGTGTGGTCCTACTGTTGCTTACTGTACTGAAAGGGCTGGTACTGAGTAGACGATTGGTACTGTGGCTTTTTGCAGGCAGAATTATGGTACCTATACGGTTGGTATGGTACGTAAGATTTCACTGTCTTTCACATCTTATGGATATTGTCCATAGTCTCATCAGTTTCAGAGTTGAACAGTCCTGCAGCATCAAAGGGAGGTTCCTCAACCTCAGTTATGGTGTCTTCAAGGACGTTGGCTGTTCTAAGCCAGGTGTGGCGTCTAACAGCAATGGCAGTCAGCCTGGATGTAGAAGCGACGTCAGCTGTGTGTTTCGCAGCAAATCGCTGTTTCCTGGTAAGAGTGTTAGCCTTTTCATAAACGTTGAGGGCTTCTGCTCTTGCGGGGTCAGGCAGTGATTGCAGTACTGGAGCTATCTTGTCCCACAAGTGTTTCTGATAGGCGCCCATGGCGGCCTGGTAGTTAGCACTTTTGGTCAACATTGCGGCAAACAAATGCAGCTTTTTCACAAAGGTGACTGATTTCTTTCCATCTTTGTCAACAGTTGTAACTGGTGATCTTGGTACGGGATTTGTACCGAGTAGATTCAGCCACAATAGAATTGGGTGCAGGATACTTGGCCAGAAAGTCAGAGTCCGAGCCATGAGTCTTATAGTGGTGCTCAAGCTTGCGTGGCACCTGTACCAGTGTAGGAGGTTTGTCCCAAGAAGATTTTACCAGCTCAAACAGAGCAGGAATGAGACTGAGACTAGGAGGAGAGGTTCTATCCTGCTCCATATCATGGGAGACAAGGTCCCGTTCTTGTTGAGGCATCTGTGCATCGAGCTGCAAAGTTTTCGCCAACCGCATAACAAGCTGTGCAGAGGATGAGAAGTCCTCTGACGAGGGCTGAGATGACGAGCCTTGCGCGGCAGTATCAGGGGCGTCAGAGTCGCTGGACACCGTAGATGGATTAGATGACTGTGAGGCGATCGAAGGAGAACGCCTCGGTACTGTGTCTTCTGGTACCATATCCACGTCCGAATGGGAGGACTGGGAGAAGGTACTGTATCGTGGGCATCAGGACCAGAGTAGAGCATCATAGCTCGAACCAAAGAGTGTCCGCCACTGTACCTAGCGTGCTTGGGAAGCGCTATAGGTACTGGAGGAAATTGTCCTCTACGGGATAGTGGTTGAAGTGTAGAAAAATCCTGTAAAGTATGTGGCTGACACGGGATAGAGGGAGCCACGGTATGGTGCCACGGTACTTGTGCCTGAGGCTCCGACTGATAGGCGTAGCCTTGGTACGGATACAGTTGGAAGGAAGCATAACAAGAGTGGCCAAACTGTGGTAGTCCTTGCGGATGATGGAGGAGGCGGAGCTTATATACCCCACGGGGGGAGCGAATTGACTCTTCTTTGTTAAGCTCTAGAATCTTCTGGATGTTCCTGCGCAGGCACAGGATAACCCATTTGTGTGCATTCACAGAGACCACTACGAAGAAGTATGAAATATTTTTAAGAAACTGAGCATATATAGTCCTGTTTGCCGTTCTGGCTTCCTTTAAAAAAAAAATCCAAAACTCAGCATTGAGGAATCAGCAAAATTATTTTTTTCTATTAGTACTCTGTATTTGTCACACAAAATGCAGGTGGCCATTACAGTCTGTCCCCTGATCAGGATTTTCCAGGAAATTATTTGTTATTTTCTGATATGCTGTCCTAATGTGTGTTGCTTTTCTTTTCTATAAAAGTCCATTACTTGGCTTAGGTAGGATTTACAGTTTTTCACTAGTATCCCAACACTGATTTATCAACATCAAAAGGGAAAGGACAGCCTTTAGTCTAGTATAGGCATCCTTCAATCATTAATGGATGGATAGCTTGAGCATGATGTTTTACTTTCTGATTCAAGTTTTGCTGCAACCATCCACTGAGGTTTGTGACTACAGGATATTCACTTGGAGTTTGCTTCATTCGCTCTTCGGGCCTGCAGAGTACATGTGCTTGAAGATAATGGGGGCTGGTAGTTAGACTTTGAGACATTACGAAGGTGTTTAAAACTTTTAGAATTTCTGAGCTGTCTTTTTACCCTCTTTTATAATAAACACATTTTATGCTACTTAAAAAGTACCTTCTCTTTGTTTGAATCCCTAGAGCAGTCTTTCCAAGCAGTGTCCAGATGGACTACAACTCCTGGCCATTCGTTATTCTAGTGGGGGCAATGACAACAATACCCCAGAAACAATTTAGGGCACCAGCTGAGGAAGGCTGGGCTTGTGAGTCTGATTTAATGGAGTTTAAGTTTTTTAAAAAAACCCAGTATCAAATATATTTAGATATTTAGATAAACAATGGCCACAACAGGCTGGCCTCTGTGGCTGGCCCACCCATTCCTGTGTGCAACAGCAGCAGCAGCCTTGCTCATCCTTCCAGTCGCTCCCGGAGCTCCGCTCTCTTCCTGCTCGCCTGGCCACTCCAGGCAGTGGGCAGGAGGATGAGTCTCCCTGCCTGGTTGCTGAACTGCTAGTTGAGCAGGAAAAGAGTGGAGCTCCTGGAGCAATCGGGAGCATAGGCGAGGCTGCTGCCACCATTGGACATGTGAGTGGATGGGCCAGCTGCAGGGGCCAGCCCCTCATTAAGTTCAGCTGTGCAGGGATATTTGTATTCATATACGAATACGAATACCCCCATCTCTAGTAATGGGAGGGTGGGTAAAATACCTCTCTGACTCTTACAGTAAGAAGTAGGTGGTGTGTGTTTTTTCCAGAAATGTTCCCAATTCAGAGGATGCCTGAAGAAACAAATTAACTACCTAGCAAAACATATGCCATTCCTCTTAAAAAACACACCAGATATCAAGTAGAAGCTAAGTTGGAACACAGGTTCCTACTCCAGTGGTTATAAATTCAGGGTATCTTTTGTATGGAAGGAACATTCAGTTACAGAGTGAAAAACCATACAATCAAATTTGCCATATTAGTGGGAACTGGCCATCTTCCCTTACCTAAATCCACCTGTCCCTTCCTCAATAGCAGTCAGTGTAGGAGCAATGGTTTTGATTATTCATCCAGCTTTTTACTGGTTCTTCTGTAAGATACCGATTTAAATTATGTGGAAACAATGACATTTAAAATTCCAGAGAAGTTGTTTAAGAAGAAATCAAATACCACTATTATTTTTAAATAACTTTAACCGCAAAGGGGCCATCACATGCAACGATAAAGAATTACAAAACTGTCCATTTAATCAAAGTTATCTGCCAGAGAACTGTGACAGACCACAAAAGAGGGATTTAGAACTGTGTTTAATGTTTAAGCTGAAAAGCCCAGGGAATTGATTAGTTCCCCATGAACATTCAGTGGTCCTTGAAAGGGAGACACACACACAGAGAGACACACGCATATGTGTATCCCTTCAATACACAGCAGGACTATTTGCATTTTGAGATAGTTTTAACCTTCTCTGGAAGAAAAATGCAGAGGGAAAAAAACTAGAAAAGAACATAAAATCTGCATCCAATTCATTCACTCTCTTAGTGAGGTCTTCATCATTAAATAATACTGTAG